GTAAAGCATTTTAATCGAGGAGTCCAGGGAGCGCATAGTGTGCTAAAGATTTAGGGTCTGGCTCTTGGCATTCTCCACGGGACACTGAGAATGGTATGTACTGGCCAAGCCTCCTTCCCATGTGCTCTCCATCTCCCTCACTGCTTCCTTCGCACACTCCCCTGTTCACACACAACGTTTTACGGCGCTCATCTGGACACCGCCGTGTTCACATACACACCCACCACTGGACACTTCAGATGCAGCGTTGCCATCTTATCAGACATAAAATATCACCTGATTCTGAAAGTAGTCTGCTCAAAGCCGCTCGGGCCGTTTGCCAGTGGCTCGGCAGCATCCAAACTTCTTTCCAACCCAGATGTCTCCGAAGTGGAAGTGCTGATGATTTGAGCATGATGTCAGTGCTGGGAGCCAAACTATCTCCACTATGTTGATATGAGAACCATAGACTGGTTGCAGACTGACGAAGAGAAACAGTTCTTTAGCGTGTTTGCAGAGTAAAGGGACGTATGGGACAGCAGCATGTGTGAACTACTACACAGAGTTCTGATCAGCTAATATTCAGTCTGAGGTGCTTTTAGAAGACTCCCGTGTGTTTCCCACTGCACTGACCTCTCATATGAGACAGGATGTCTCACAGCTCTCTCTCGAGCAGGCCAAAGAACTAAAGAGGAAGGCTGCGTTCTTTGCTTCTGGTTGGTTGGAGAGTTATAAAGTAGAAGAGTGGGGGGAGGCCAAGCAGAAGCTATGATGAGAGGAAGAGAGACAGAGAGAGATAAAAAATAAAGAAAAAGAAAATAGACGGCTCTCGCTCTGTTTGTGAAGCATGACGTCTGCTGAAGGAGCAGATTCTGGGTCACCCCATCACCTACCTCAGTTAATCATGACACACAGCTTCTCATACTTGCATGCACGAAGACACAAACACTCCCTCCTTAAAGGACATAAATCAAATCTGTGTGTCAGTTCACTCAATGCTATACACAATATCAAAGTGACTTATCGTAGGCGCACAACTGCACAACTGCTTCAAACGCCTTTTCAAATTACTGAACAACACAGGTGCTTTACACGTGTGGGTTCGTTTTCAAATGAACACTGTAAGTGGACTACATGATTACTATAAGCAAATTCATTACATAACATTTGTAGAGGAATGATTCTGTCTCAAGCGATTTGATTCATTCAGCCACTGAGCACTGTCCTTGTAATCACTCTCAGCGGTTCCTCCTGTATAACAGACCAAAATAAGGCCATTTACTCAAAATAAGTGACAAAATGTCTTTTTTTAGTTCAAAATAAAGACAGGGGCGGGGGGGCAGTCATGGTATTGGAGCTTCAGAACGGCTTACCGAGGCAGAAACAACATAATTAGCTCTCTGTTTAGCTCCATCACTGCACTCTCAGCCTCTGTTACCGCCTACATACTCTCCATACTCCGTCTAATTACCCGCGGCTCATCACAAAGACGCTTATTGATTTAAACAACATAATTGGGAGGACAGCATGACTGTAAAGATAATGTGGAACCGTCTGTTTTCCTGATAGACTTCATTATCGGCCATTTAATCGTTTTGAGGTCCTTGATGTGTGATCAGTAGAGTTTCTTAGATTTTCCAATGATTTGCTGTCACACATTTCCCCTTCTACTTACTTCTGCCTTTTCTTCCTGCTCTGTCTCTGTGTTTCTCCTCAGGACAAACTCATAATGTGCACTTAGATGGAAATGTGTGGGAGGAGAGAGACACGCTCTTCCTTCTGACACATTGAAAGGAGGTACACTCTCCAGAGGCGTGTGAAGAGGATGACATATATGGATGAAAGGGACTGACATACTAAACCTTCTGTAGAATTACAACTAAACTCTATTCTCAATACAATCAAGGGAAACATATTTACTCACAGATCACGGTCGTCGTTTTAAACACGTGATGAATGTTGTAAATTGAAACAAAACAAGACAAAACACTACAAAGTCTGTTACTTTATTTGTTACGTTATTAAAATAAGTCTTTTGTTTTTACTCGGGATACAAAGTGGAATGTCCTGGGTGAAAGTCCTGTGTACGTGTGTTTGTGTGTGAGACAAATAATGCAAACAATGGCTTAAACTCAGTCTGTTTAAGCAAATGTAGCGGTTACAATGTCTGTACAGAGAGAGAGAGAGAGAGAAGCTTGCGTGTCCGCCGGTCATGTATTTTGATTTACATGAACAGCACATTATTTAAGAATATTCCAAAGGAAAAAGCTGTGACTCACACAGGCTGATTGTTCTCATACACATCAGTAAGCATGGTTGTGCAGATATTTTCTGGCTTTCTTTCTCTGGCTTTGACTTTGTCCTTGATCACACACACAAACAAACACACAGCTCTGTTATCCTCCTATGAGTATCATCAGAAAGCTCAAATAAAGGTTTATCTGAGCGAATGAAAATAAAAGTAATTCATTATTCAGACCGAGAGCCTAAAAAGCACTAGAACTAACGATCCATGGTGTAGCACGACTTCAGGGTAAAAACCATCAGCTATTTAGATCATTCTTAGGATTTTACTTCCACCAAAAGATGTTTTGTGTTTTGAGAAACTTTCACAGGCTTTTGAAACAAAAAGAAAATGCACCTTCATCAAGCACGGTCAATTTTTCACTCCCATAAAAACGTAACATTCTGGAGATACAAAAGACATCTAACCGCAGTGATACATGTCACCCAGAAGCAACAACAAGCAGCTACTGCCAAACATTTCAAAGAGGATTTAATTACTTTAGGTGCTACTACCCTGGAAATCAGAGACTCACACAGGCTGGAAAAGCTATTAGGACATCCTCATTCCACAGCATGCTGGAGTGTGTGTGTGTGTGTGTCTGTGTGTGTGTGTGTGTGTGTGTGTGTGTGTGTGTGTGTGTGTGTGTCTGTGTCTGTAATATAAAACCTGCAAAAGAGGTCGATAAGGCTATCAGGTCGAGACAGTCCTGTGATTATGCGCCGTCTTCTTCTCAGTGTTGTGGTTAACTAAAAACAGACACGCAGATGCTGCCAGCCGCACACATGTTCTCTCACACACACACACACACACACACACACACACACACACACACACACACACACACACACACACAAATGCACACTATAGCTCTCATATGCCCAGCTACCCATGAGAGTCAAGTGATTCTCTATTTATACGAGGTGCATACGAGGGAGGTTAGGAGATGAAATTACATACACTGCAGATTACAAAGATCCTATTTAACCCAAAAATACACGTTGGATCAAAAACGACTCGACTCGTAATTGATTATTTCATTCATAAAGCTGCATAGTTCATATATCATGACAGAAAGCATGTTTTATATAGTTATTAATATTAGTAGTTTTCTCTAAGAACAACCAATTCTAAATGGAAACCTAGAGGAGGAAGCAGACTCTTTTATGTTGAAGGTCTTGTGCTTCTTTATGTTCTTTGGTCTTTTAACATCCGAAGCACATTAGTTCATACTCAGTGTCACTTGTAAAAAAGGCTCCGTAATTTCCTTAAACAACAAGTCACTGTAGGTTCTACTCTATCAGCAGTAAATAGTTGATTTATTAGGGCCTATTCTTAGCTGCGAATGAATGCAGGATTGATTGATGCTCTATGAGTATTTACAGCAGCGGGGCGGTGATAGTGGGACTGACTCTGATTAAGTGCCTGTGCTCATCATAATGAAGGAATGTGTGACCCAGTTCAACTATGTGGCTCATTGATGTGTGAATGTTAATGACACAGAGGATTATCAGCCTTTAGATATTCAGACAACATGTGTTAGTACAGTAGGTTTTGGTCTTTTTATGGGATTTGTTCATTATAAGAAAATATTACCTGCCTGGTTGTTTGACCCATTTGAATCACTCCAGGATTACCTCAGCAGCATAAAGTCAACACAAGGTCTGTTGCAGGAAGGAAATACAGCAGCAGCTCACTGTGTTCTTGTTTGCTCTGTTGTCCTTTGAAAATGAAGGTGCTAATCTTTGTGCTGCGACAACAGGCTATCGATGTTTCCCTCAGATCTCTTTCAGGTACAGCAACTTGATACCGAGGACAGAAACACACACACGGAAACACACGCGGCCATCAGAGGCACCTCAACAGAAGCACAGAGACTGGAACAGAGTGGAATTTGAAACGTTTTAGCCAAAAATGTTTCCATCGTCAACGTGTTTTTTGCAGAAACGTTTCAGATTTCGTTTTGTTCTCCAACTTCGTTGGTGAAGACGGTCAACCGGCACAGGACAGGAGAATGCACTGGCCATCAACATCATCACATAAATGCAAACAATTCTATTTGTTAGGATTTGATGTTGTGGCTTTCAATCAACAGGTATTCTTAGCAATAAATATGCTAAACATGGGATTAAGCACATACAAACGCTCACATACAAACATTTGTCAATGTGAGAAAATCTCTGTTCTTCCTGAAGGCACCATCTTCGTCCAATCCTATTATTGATTGATGCTTTTGTGCGGCAACTTTGCAGTAAATTATTTGAGAAATGTCTAGCAAAACAACCACGCTTTGTATTTTGCACAAGAGATGGTCCTATATGCACAGCACACTGTTGACTTGTATACATGTTGCAATGTTGGGTTTTCAATGCTGTGAAGACTGTGAAGTCAAATTCTGCTGAGTTTCTTTTCTGTTGTGTGGAAAACAACTCATGCTTCTCTGTTGATTCAACCAATTGGATGAACCCACAAATAAACCTCGGTACTTTAGATTTTTGTTTATGAAGATCTGGCATCATGGAGCTCCATGGTGTTCACATCTGACAGCTGTGATGAGCTGTTGTGAGTGGGGAAAAAGAAGCAGTCTCTTACTCATTGCTTGTTTTTCTCTGTTCATTGATTCTTCAGCATATCACTCCATCCCTCTTTCAGTTGCAGTTCAAACGACCCCTAACACACACACACACACACACACACACACTATTCACACTAACAAGCTTCTCCCTATCGTGTGTAGGCAACGCGGTGAGATAGGAACGGGACCGCCTCATGTGTCGGGCCTCCTCTGTGTTCTGGTCCCCACCGACCCCCACCCTCCCAGCGTCAGTGGGATGTCCCAGGTGTGTCTCCTCTTGGCCTTGCTTATGCTCTGCAGCTGCAAAAAGGTACGTCTCACGGCGTCTCTCTCTCTCTCGCTCTCTCTCTCTTTTGCACACACCCACACACAGAATGAGCCGTGTCTTTGACAGTTGCAGCTGTTACTGAAACTCAACATGAGGCTTCCTCCTGCAGGTCTCCTCGACTAACTCCCTGGAGCTCGTGAAGGAGCATTGGAGCAGCTACAAGAACCAGTGCCTGGACTACCACAATGCCACGCCCCCCGCCACAGGTGAGCCCCTCTCCCCCGCAGCTGGAGCGTGTGTCTTAAAGAGATGCATAAGAGAAATAAGCCTCACTTCCTGTAAGCCGAGAGCACACATTTCACAGATCTGCTCTCCACTGCAGGGCTGGTGTGTAATAGGACCTTTGACCTGTACGCCTGCTGGCCTGATGGACTCCCAGGAACCACTGTCAATGTCTCCTGCCCATGGTTCCTGCCATGGTACCGTAAAGGTATCAGTGCTCAGATAAGATCAGATAAACTTGATATTTCCAAGGGAAATTGTGGAAATACATGTGCAAATACATCGAGTGCATTAGAGTAAAATCAGTGATTTGACGGGCTGTGTGCAAAATCTCCCCTTTTCAAATTAGAGCTCCTCTTCAACACACACCTTAACATAACTGCAGAGAAAGAGCTCTTCAAAGTGCCCTTTAATTAAAGTCATTCAGAGGAGTGAATTGAAAAAAAGCTTTGCAATGACAACACATCTCACCATACTGTTCGTCCTTGTCCTTCAGTGGGATGAAAGAAAGCAGTAATGTGTTGGCTGAATGCTTCACTGAATAGTTTCAATAGTTAGTTATAGTACAATAGTTTCAGAGAGTGAATGAAGCATGAGTCGTGTGAAGGCCACATAGTCAGCTATTACTCTCCAGGGCAGCGAACGTGGAGCTTTCTGAGACAGTTTTGCTTTTGTCTCAGATAGATAATAATACATTTATTTTATAATAGCGTTAACTCATAGCAGCTCTTGCTATGTCGAATCAGTTATTTGTTGATGTTCAGGATTCCTGCAGGTGGTTTGGAGGCAGTGAAAGTGAGCTCGTCTCTGCTATCTGTTGTGGACTAGCAGCCTGGCAGGGGCTCCACTCTGTTCTCCTTTTCGTTTTGTATCATCGTTGAATATCTTTTGATTTGTCAGACAAAATAAAACATTTGAAGATGTCCCCATGAGATCTGGGAAGCTGTGATGGACATCTTTCAACAAAATGCTGAAGCAATTAATAAAGACAATAATCTGCAGATTAAGTTAGAGCAGCACTGTAGCAATACACTCCATAGATGGTGACTTACTGCCTTATTCAGGTTAACAGTTTGGTTAAAATTTGTGAAAACAAATTATCATTGTCTCTGTTAACTGGCGACTGGACATTTAACTTTGGCCTAATGACATCTCAGAAGTAACATTGTGGGGTTGACTGAGAACTCGTATTTAGTCTTTGTGTGGTCAGTTATAATGACAGAGAAAAATGAAACAAAACATTATTTGTTGACAAAAAAATACCCGAGAAATAAACGTATTCGCTTTCTTGCTCAGTTAGCTTCATATTTGCCATAGATCTGAGAGTGGCATCAATCTATTAATTAAGCTCTCTGCAAGAAAGTGAATAAGCATATTTCACTTTCATTCAAAGTCTGCTTCCAAGCTTTTTATGTAGCTTTAGTGAAAGACACTAATCTGTCGAAGGTGAAGAATGAACCTCAATGATCATCAAGATAATGTCACTAAATATTTATTGTCCTACAAACAAATGATTGTGTGGGGATGAAGCGACTTCTGAACAGTGGGGGGTGCACATGCCGTCCTAATGTAAAATCTCGTAATGTGAGTCTCTGTGTGAACAGTTCAGCAGGGTCTGGTCTACAGATTCTGCAATGAAGAGGGTCAATGGGCGCAAAAGAACACCAGCGAATGTGAGGACGACCCTGGGGAGGTGTGTGTACACAGTACAGCGTGTGTGTGTGTGTGTGTGTGTGTGGGCCAAGCCTGCCTTATGAGGTAACAGTTATAATGTGTGACGCTACTTGGACTTGCAGATGGTTAGACGATATTGTGACTATGAATATCTTGACACTTTAACTTGACTTGATATGAAATTCCTCAGCGTGTGGAAACTCTGCCATCTGTTCAAATTCTCTTCAGGGCCCTTTTTTTTTTACATATTTTGTGCCAAATCTAAATTGTAGTGTGTGTGTGTGTGTGTGTGTGTGTGTGTGTGTGTGTGCGTGTGTGTGTGTGTGTATGACAGCAATGCATGGAAGCATCTGACTCTGTCTCTCCTGTTGGTTCTGCAGCAGCAGTATGGCCGCATCCTCAGTCAGTTACGGATCATGTATACAGTGGGCTACTCACTCTCCCTGGGAGCTCTGCTACTGGCCTTGGGAATCCTCATCACCTTCAGGTACCACGTGTAGGAGGAGTAATCAGAGGAGTGAGCAGGAAATAGGTAGGAATGAAAAGAAAAAAAGGAAAGGAATGAATCAATAAAGGGGGTGAAGGACAATGAGAAAAAGGAAAGAGAACAAAGGAAAGAAGAAAAGGTTGAAAGGAGAAACAATGGGAATAAAGAGGATGACAGATGGACAGAATACAAGAGGAACAACGCGATGAATGAAATAAGTAATGTAAGTTATTACAAGTAAGGAAGACAGGAGGGAAGTATAAAAAAGGTTAAGGAATTTTTAGACTCATGGAAATAAATGGAGGGGGAATAAAGATGGAAAAAAGAAAAGAAAGGATGAATAGGAGGGAGCAAGGAAGGCAGGAATAAAGAAAGGAAGACGAAAAGAAGGGGGTGAGAGAGAATTAAGAACAGACAGAACAAAGGAAGAGAAGAAGACGCAATGAATGAAAAGTGAAGGATGGAACCAAGGTAGGATTCAAAGTAAGGAAAGAAGAGGGGAATGGAAAAAAACAAGGAAGGAAGGAGAGCATCAAGAGGAACAAATGTAAAGAACAAAAGATGAGAGCAGATAATAAAGGATTGGGTAATTGTCCTCATGTTCCTGTCAATACAACAAATCAAAGTCAAAAGCCGTCACACACACACTGTCCCCCATGTGCACCAGGAAGCTCCACTGTATGAGGAACAACATCCACATGAACCTGTTTGCCTCCTTCATCTTGAAAGCCGTGTCCATCCTGGTCAAAGACGCCCTGCTGTCCCTCACACTGGAACCCAGGAGCAGCAATGACACCCGGACACAAGCCTGGGTCAACATACCGGTGAGACCAAACACACCGCGTCAGCCTCATCTCTGAGTTGTGTTCGTGTGCAGCTATTCAGCATCAGACAAATACATCACGCTACTTCCTGTACTATTTGTGGAACATACATCGTAAATGCAAAATAGTGCTTGTAACTTCTAATAGTGCCGATTAGGAGAAGGAGCTAAGGACTTCAGTCCACATGAAGTATAAGCAAGAGGCAGCTAAACGGTTCCTGTAAATGTGATTTGCTTCTTTTGTGCTGAGGCGCTTTTGTGTGAGCACAACAGTTCATGTGAAAGACAGTCCTTGTCCTCTGAACTGCTGCCGTAAGCCTAGAGTTGAGCATTGTGTTGTGCTGCAGTCACATTTTCGACTTTTGTACTATCGGAGAAGATGTTACCTTGGCTTATTGTTTGCATCCACACCACCCCCGTCCTGTGCCGTGTGTCAGGCTGTCACGTGGTGCCGCGGTGCCATGGTGATGATGCAGTACAGCGTGATGGCCAACAACTATTGGCTGCTGGTGGAGGGCATCTACCTGCACAGCCTGCTCGTCATCACTGTGTTCAGCGAGAGGAAGTACTTCTACATTTATCTGGCCATTGGCTGGGGTAAGGTCACTCTGACACAGTGACGAATAATACAGAAGCTGTGTTTCTGCTCTTTTTCCGATTGACAAATATTGGTCAGTTTTGCGAGAAGAGTAAACAGGATTTTGACCCAAAAGCAGAGAGTTCAGATAGATCAGTCGTAGCAAACGGACTCAATCAAACAGTCTTCAGCAACAGGAAGTCAGTCATTTACCAGAATGGTTAACAGGTATGTAAATAGACTAATAAAAGAGCAGTTGAGTCAGGTAGCCCCTTGCTAAGCCCCCATATATCTAAAACATGATCATAGCAGACTGAAAGTGAACAGGTACATCTAAAAAAGTAAGTAGTTCCTTACCTCCTACTCATTTTCATAATATATTATTTAAAAAATCCTCAGGGCGCAAAATAAAAAAAGCGACCGTGTGCCTCGGGGCAGCTTTGGTTTGTCATTTCACACCTGTTTTATTTAAAACTAAATTCTCTAATTATCTCTGAATAAATAAAGACTTTATGATGTTCATAATACGTTTTCAGCTTGCTATTCTGAGATGATAATTTCATTAAATCGTTATCTTGAGAATTCAAGATAATTTCCGTGATTATGAAAGTCCTCCCCGAGCTGTATAACTGTCTCGCCACATTATGAACTGGATTGTCCAATTGATGTTGTCTTTGCAGCCCGACAGAGCAGATAATGTCCGAGGAAGAGACCAGGTGCATGAACACAGGGAGACATTTTAATATTTAGAGACCTTTTCAGTCTTCATCTTGTCAGAGAAGAATAGAAATATGTGTCTTGAGATAATGGGATTTTAAACTCATCATCATATCAGCCTGATAACTGGTTAGAAGAATAAATAAAGAGCAAACTGTAATTTGTTATACACATCAGTTGTGTGCTTTACACTGGTGAAAGTAGGACGTCTCCATCTCTTTCACTCTCACAACGTGTTTCTCTGTTTCACATTCTGTCGTTCTCAGGCGCACCGCTCTTATTCGTGTTGCCGTGGATCACGATGAAATATCTGTATGAGAACGAGGAGTAAGTTGCTTTTCGTAATATCTTTTCGTAATAGTGTTGCCACATCAAAAAAAAGGCAGTTTAGATGTAACAGATCGTGTAACTGTGAGTTGTGAGAGTTTATGCTATAATGTATGAATATACGATGACCCTTTGGAGACAGTGAAAAGATCAGAAATACAATGATAACAACAATAGGTTACACTTTTAAATGTGTGTGTGTGTGCGTGTGTGTGTGTGTGTGTGTGTGTGTGTAGGTGCTGGGAGAGGAATATCAACATGGGATACTGGTGGATCATCCGCTCTCCGATAGTGTTTGCTTATCTGGTAAAACTGTCTTTATCTGTTTGTCTGGTATTCTCATATTCTCTGTCTGGCAGTTGAACAATGTGATGAAGGAACGTCAAGTCTAGAGTGTGTTGGCATGTGATGGAAATACTGATCCACACACACACGCACACACACTGCAGCTGACATTGTGTTTGTGTGTGTGTGTGTGTGTGTGCTTCTTTGAAAGTATGTCGATCATGCAGTAGTTGGAAGGAGAGTTGAAGTAAAAATTGCTTCGCATCCATTTCTTTACACCAGTAACACAATAATCTCTCCTCACTGAGTACTTTAGATTTTGAAGTGTAGCTACTAACTATATTTCATGGAGTAATAGTCATGGCATGACTCTTTGTCAGGCTCTGCAGTGCACTCTGCAATAATATAACTTTATGATTAAATTCACTGATTCATTTAGGAATAAAGCAAGAAAGAGTGATTGGGAGTAGACACTCCTATTGGATGATGAACATATGTCGCTGGACTATTATTATTGTAATATCGCCTAACACACACACACGCCCTCACACACAAAAATAAGTTGTGTGTTTCCTGCCTCTAGTTCCCATTGGGACAAACGAGATTATGGATGGACACACTTAGTGCACAGTAACAGTAGCAACCTTTGTGACCTCATGCAGAAGCGTACGTGTGCTCACACACACACGCTGACATATTCAGAAACCCGTGTGTTTCCTGTGCAAGTCACACAGCTTGTGCTCCGTGGAAAAATTCTCTTTATCGCAATCTCTGAAATAGTTGCCATACGGTTGTGTAACGTTATATGTCATCCTCCAGCAATCCCAAACACCACCCTGCGGTTCAACTATTGTTCACACACACACACACACACACACACACACACACACACACATTCACACAAACACATCTGTCAGGACAACATACACATGTTACCAAATTTGGAGCGCTTTAACTTGAGTGCCGTAGTAATTAATGTTCTCTGTCATTGAAGAGGGTCTGCACTAGCTCACAGTGTGTGTGTGTGTGTGTGTGTGTGTGTGTGTGTGTGTGTGTGTGTAAGACAGTGCAAATCCTTCAGAGCACACACAGGAGACATTTCCAGGCGTCTCTGTCTCTCTTTCACACATTTTGTCATCCAAACATCTACAGAACATATTTGTTTGCATCGTTTAACTTTCCCTGTCTTCTTATTTCAGATTAACTTCTTCATATTCATACGAATTATCAAAATCCTGATGTCTAAACTCAAAGCTCATCAGATGAGGTACACTGACTACAAGTTCAGGTGAGTCTTACCTGCATATTGAATCTTGACTGTTACCTGATGGTGCTGGTGAAGGAGCAGTGGCTAACCTCTCTGGTTTCTTGTAATAGATTAGCAAAGTCCACTCTGACTCTTATTCCTTTGCTCGGGATTCACGCCATCCTCTTCACCTTCGTCATCGACGAGTCCGTCCCTAAAGGCTCCATGCTGCGCCTCATTCGCCTCTTCTGTGACCTGCTGTTCAACTCCTTCCAGGTCAGAGCTTCACTTCACGTAAAACTGAACTCTGACTCATTCACACACACATCTTCAGACCAGATCAGAACATTAGAACATTTTTTTATCTTTTCTGAGCCATACAAGATAATTTATCAGCCTTTTGTTGTTTCTTTAATTGCATTCTATTTGATTAATCATGCATATATATTTAAAACATAACAATGATGCATTCAAATACTGACCAAGCATCGATATTGGACCGTATCCAACTTTCTCAATGGTAAGCGGACACCTTTTAATACAGAATGAGTAATACATGGATTTGGAGCAAACCACAAATATACAAATGGCTGAATAGTATTAATATATAAAGGCGTCATGTGGGGCTTTGTCTTGCAAACAAACAAAGTTCTGTTTACATCCAGTGTAACTCACCAAATGCATTGTGTGTGTATCATGGAGATTTAACAAATATGCTGTTTTCCATCCGCATAAAACATCTGCAGAGCACAATTAGAAACCTATGTGTTACCACCCTTGTTTATTTGCTAGCAGTCTTCTTCCGTGCCTTTGTTGGCGCAGTGCTGCATCACTGCCACGAGTAGATCGAGTACTTGTAGACCTAAATTAGCAGACCGTTTATCTTCACAGTGGGCAGCAATATGGCTCTTTCATGTGTTTTCAATTCTTCACTTTTTGGATAACAATGGAGTTCTATGACAAAAAGGCAAAAGTGATATCAGGGTATTTGTTGATCATAGCTGTGCCCGGCTAAAACATGAGTTTATTTTCAGGTATCTGACATGACTGAACTGTCATAGCTCCTTCTTCTGTTTCAGGGCCTGCTGGTTGCCATTCTTTACTGCTTCGTCAACAAAGAGGTGAGACGGATGTGCTTTCATGTAAAGCACATCCTTAATTTAATCTCTGCTCTTGCTGCAGTTCCTTCCTTTCCCTTTTGTAGAGACGATAAATTAGACATGATTCATCATCAGTGTTTCTGTCTCCAGCCTTGATCGGCCCTCTTATACCTCTGAAAGCTCCACCTTTGTTCAAGCTCCACTTTATTCTTTTGTCTACGAAGTGGGACAGACGCATCATCGTCCATCTATAATCTGCAAACTTTTAAATGTTTGGCAAGAGACGAGTCCATCTAATGAAGTGCTCAGTGTCTTATTTAATCCTCATCACAAATCTTTGCGTGTCTGTCCTCTCTGTTGTCTCTCTCTCTCTGCGGTCCCATCGTCCCTCAGGTGCAGTCAGAGATACTGAAAAAGTGGAAGCGGTGGAAGCTGGGTAAGGACATCGATGAGGAGTACCGTCACACCCACAGCCACACGCCGCACCTCAAGAGCGGCAGCATCGGCACCGGCAATCCACCCTATCTCCATGAAGACAACGCCAGCGACCCTGGTGGTGACTCGCCTCGCCTCAATGAAGCGGACAGAGAACCCTCGTGCTCCGCCGCACCTGAGGAGAACCGCACACTAGTCGTCTGCTACAGCAACGGGGCGGGGAAAGGCGGGCCCGCCAACAGCAAGCACACCCTGCAGTTGTCTTTCCTGCCACACCGAGGCGCCGGCAGTCATGTGAGCGCTGCCACAGAGGACGTGTGTCTGGAGGAGAGGGTGCAGTGTGGCACATACCCCCTGGAAGGAGAGGAGACTAATGTCTGAGGACGACCTGCTCTGAGGCCCGAAAACTCTCCCTGATTGTGCTTATCGGTGTTTCAGATCAGTGTTCGTCATGTGCCCACAAGACAGCCTGAGCGGGAAGAGAACGAGGAAGTAACCCACGCAGATCAGGATCTTTGAACCTGCCCAGCTGCAAATTAATATTTATTGATTTGGGGACGTTAATTGAAAAAGCACTTTTTGACTTGAGACATTAGGAATGCTAAAAAAAAAAAGAAACTCTAGTGGTGTCCAGGGTGATTACGTGAGTGTGTGTGTGTGTGTGTGTGTTTGTGGAGGACTGCTATTTCGACACCAACCCTGCTCACACCTTTCCATATGTAGCCTCCCGCTGTTGTCGTTGTGAGTCACACTGGTGTTGTCTGTCTGTTTGCAGCAATGGATGCTTTTTACTCCTAAAAGGAAACTCTCAAAAGTCTCAAATTCATTTTATTTTAATTTTTGCACACATGAAACTGAAGGTGGACTTGAGCATGCGTGACTCATGTCTTGTTCATCAGGATTGAAGGCGGAACTGAGAGACCACTGACTCACACGGTTCGTGCTGAGGTAGAGAGGATGGAATCCTCTTCAGAGAGACTGTGATGTGTAAGTTATTCTGGTTTTAAATGGACAAAGCCAAACAGGAAATAATAATATACCATGATTCTACATCAAATCCACTATTTCATGCACATTCCTTCCCTCCCTTTTTATCTATAATTCCCTTCTTTCGACAGCTTCTCCTGACTGAATGTATGTGAACAATGGATAAATATTGGTGAAACAATATTTAAGTGTATATATGTAAATAGGAATATGCCAACAGCACTTGCTTTTATCCAGCGAGGACACTTTAATTTAATTCTTGATTTCTCTTCCTTGACACGCATTTAGTAAATTGGATGAAAAACAATTTGGCAATCGTGATATTTGGTGTTTCATATGAACTCAAGTACCTCCAGGTTACCAATCTTCAATCTGCTCCAATCATGTCCACACAGCCTCACGCTGTTTCAGTCATACAGCATTCTGGAGGAAAACACAGAACAAGAAGAAGTCCTTTGATGTGCCAGAAAGGTTTTTAGTTTCATGATATATTGAGTGAACATGTTTTGTTGAAAAGAGCACCATATTAACAACAGAGGAGCCAGCTGATTATTGATTTTTGTTTTTCTTCTAACGGATCGGATCAGGCCTCATATTTCATGACTCTGAAAGCAAAATGTGCCACACAGAACCACTTTTATAATCTTGGATTAAGAAAATTGGCAAACTAAAACAAGGATTGGTGTTTTAAAACATGATTCAGTTCAGAAACGGGCCGGATTTAACTGTCGGTATAGTTTTACAAATATGACTGATTTCAGTCGCCGGAGAACGAACTAGGATTTCCACAAAGGTATTAATGATGAACTTCTTGATCAAAGATTGTAAACAAATATTCAGTTTGGTGTGCAAGAGAGAGCACTGTACTCTGTAAATATTGCTAAAGCTATTATAACGACAAGGACGGGGGTGGAGGGATGTGTATACTGTGTTTTTGCTTGCAGTCCAGGTGACTCAAAAATTAGAATAAACTTGACAAATTATCTTGAGAAAAGACTCAAAACATGATTGTACCTGTGCTTGTGTTTAAAGTGTTGCAATTTTCAGAATGGGTCCAAAGCAAACAATGTCACGAGAGTTTTACATAAAAGCTATAAATGTTTGCATCTCATACGTCTCCTTGGGTCCATTTAAACAAAGTGTCAGCATATTGTGTCCATTCAACATATGAGAGAGAGACATTAGTGTCATTCCTCCACAGTCATGCAGTGCGTCTACAGGCTGTGAGCTGACCGGCTTTTGAGCAAAAACAGTAAGTCGAGTAAGTAAACTCTGGAAAAACATGCTTCAAATTTGGCTGAAAAATTAGACAAATGAATTAATCTGTGTGTGCAGTTATCTCACATCACGGTCGACCGCAAAGCCCATCAGTGGACTTACTATCAATCGACACACATGTTTCCATTGGACACGACTGCAACATGAAATTATAACGACTCCTCTGTGTGTTGTTGGAGGATAATAAGTTCCCAGCCCATGAATTATGCATGTCCCCGATAACGTGCGTGTACGTGTGTTCTTGTGTGTGATTGATCTGGAAATCTCTCTGAAACACCTCCCTCTCTCCTCATGCTCGTATTTACATATAACAGAGTACATTAACCAATGGAGGCGGCTCTCTGCGCGGCAGGATAAAGCCAGCAGGAAATATTAGTCAAGGACGGCTCACAATGTCTCTCAGGGGAATCGCCGGACTTATTTATATGTAAAGACAGAATGAGTTCAGTATGCATTGGAGAAGTTTGAATTAAAGGGCTTGGACAGGTCTTTTACTTCTCTTATGTGGATGTATTGCACATGTTTATTCCGAGAATAACCATTGCCATTTAGAAATAAAGAAGATATTGATTTATTTAATGATGTAGTTGCTTGTTTGACTGCATTCAGTCTCTCCCTTGCTCGGACCTCACCCACCTTCAAACTCAGCCTTCATTTTGATCTCACGTTTGTGACAGCATTTTGCTCGGTTGTGACGCTATTGCAGTGACAATATTAACAGCTGGCAAAGCTCTCAAAACCTCTTCTGTAGTTGTTACTGTTACGTGTCTCCAGGACCACAGGATGCCATGATGACTCACTCACACAGTCTCTAAGAAAAGTGGAGTTATATTTTTAGAACTGTACGTTAGACACCTATGGTGGAGTATGATGAAGGGTAGGGGAGGATTCAAGGGCTTACAGTATAATTAGTCTGCATGGCATTCAGTATAATGCATGTTGTGTTACACACCTTCAAGAGCAAATGTCAAACATGTGGTCTTTGAGGTGATTTTGTGTTTTTACCTTAAATCCATACAAACAACTGTATTTTTACCTTTGTTGTGTGCTGCTCCTTTGACGTCAGCGTTGTGAGACCAGGCTCCATTGAGAAGCAACAGTTTGTTGTCGTGCATACACTCTCGAGAAAATGTAGAAGCCAAGGATTTTTTAAGGGCACAGAAGTTGTGTATTGATTCTTACCGAAGCAATTCAATTTAAATGACTGAATCGCAGCACAAATGAATCACCTTGAGTGAAAATCTATTTCATATTAGTGTTTGATTACTTTACTCTGAAAGATTAGTGGACACGAATGAAGAAATATATCTGCAAACAGCCTCACTGCTTTTTTTCATTTCATACCCTTATGTGTGCGGGCCCGTCATGATCACCAAGAAGCTCACCAAAATGCATATTGCTTACTGATTCCTAATGAGCAACCAGAGGCTCATTTCCTAAAACACAGACAAAAAAAAAGGACTCAAAATTATGAAACCTAAGCCAAGATATTACACAAACAGGTCGTTATAGTTGATTTTCTGTCCGTCTGCCCAGGAAACATCTATTTTAAGGACTGTCATATTATTTGAACTCCTGGGACCAGCGAATGCTCCGGATTGGTCGTGATGCTCCAAGTCTGCAGGGAGGATTGTGGAAAACACATTAGGTAATCGGAGGGTCACTGAAAACATATTACAGTGGTCAAAAATCCTCCACACATCCTGTAAAACTGCTCCTCATGATACCTCTGCTAAAACCATCTGAGGAGTAGATTCTGCTAATTGGGAAAACATATTACAGCGATATTGTGATGCGTATTCCAGCACAGACCCACAGCTAAACCGATGTTGATTTAATTTTTACCACAAAAGATTTAGCTACTGAATGAGTGCAGTCTGCTTTTTCTGAATTCTGGTCCATTTGAGTTCTTTAGAGTCCATCCGGGACGAGCTTTCTCTCAGTTTCTGTTCAGAGACTTCTAGGAGCTCTAGCAGATCCACATTACTGAGTGCCGTCTTCAAAGCAAAGGCCACCATAATTACTGGATGAATGATTAATAAAGGTATTATTTAATATTGAATGATTAAATATTTAAAGGCTCAATCCAACTTTTCCCTGACCTTTAGTGACTTGGATTTGGTTAGAAATCTCCAGTTTCATCATCACCTGTGTGTGTGTGGGTGTGTGGGTGTGTGTATATTGCAATGTCAGTGTCAGTGTGAACTCTGTCTTATCTCTTTCTGTGGCTGTAAATCCCGACTTCCTGTGAGTTGTAACTGGATAGGAAGTCGTATGCACGTGCCACACGAAGCCAGGAGATGTTATTTTTGGGATTAGGACAACAACACCTCAGAACAATGACAAAGGAGCAGCACGGTGTAGGCATCAGTCAGCCGTGACAGGTCTATTGTGAAAAGTACTTCAGTCCAACAACAGGCAAAGACTGGGTGAGGTTTAACAGACCAATAGAAGTGAAGTAAGAGGAAAAAACATTGTTCACGTCTGTGTGAATAGTATGTGAGCGTCTGTGTTTGTGCGGCTGCGGTTTTGATACTGCAAAAAAATCAGATCATGAGCACAATGCAATTTGGTCTGCGATACGAATCAAATGTTTTTATTTCCCACTGCAGCACTTCAGCTATAGCAGCCCTTCCCTTCATGCATAGAGGTACATACACACAACATTTTCAGAGATTAGATGTGTTTCTTCAAAACACCAACAATGAACTGAAGAATGTCAGCCTCCATCCTGCACATTTTAACTATACTATAGTGTTTTTATAACTTAATTTAATAAATTGAGTTTGTTGACGGTTAGTCAACTCATCTTTCACAAGACTGAACATCGAGACTGTGAGTCAACAGTCCTGCCGGCATAACAGCTGTTTGAAGCCGTTGGCACAGTGGTGGTTTGAGGTAAAGTGGTGGCTGTGGGTGTTAGTGTTAGCCTGTAACCATCAGGCTCCTACTGTCTACATGTCAAAGTGTCCATGATTGCTCATAAATAAAAGGGTTTAAATGCGGATTTCAACATGCTCACAATGGTGACGCTGATATGTCGATGTTGTGTAATGTTTAGCTTGTTCACCACATTAATTCCGCGTGTTAGCATGCTAACATTTGCTAAATAGCACAAAACACAAACTCTGAAGATTGGTTTCCCTGTTTGCCACAACTAAAGAAACTCACATTCTGTTGAAACAAGAGACTATAGCTTGGTTTAATGGTGCAGCCTTCTTGTAATCCTTATTTATGCTAAAACATACAAATGAAATTGAGTTGTTACAGTATTTCTGTGCCCCAGAAGCCTTTGAGAGACGAAGAGGGACAGATCTGCTTTCATCCGCCGTCCGAGTGCTACGTGAAGTAGTTTGAACCGTGGACCCAGAGTTGCAGTTGTCTGTTCTTTTGTAACACTTGGACTGTGTTTTGGTTGCTCTGGCTGAACTTTTCCCATCATCTGTGTTCTCCTGCGTCTGGAGATCCCTGAAGAGCCATCACGCGCATGTACCTCGACGACACTGGTCCTGCAGGCCGAGCGACTGATACAGAGTGCAGATGCCTGACGTCTCATTAAGTCCTTTTTATATGTAACAGCAATAGAAACAGACAGAGATAGATGGGGATTTCTTCCACACTTGGCTCAGACTTACATAACTGCTAATGACTTGTCAGCTGCTGCACCTCTTGCCAGTAAAATGATTTCTCCTTGACCCTGAGTCAGACTAACTATAGACTCTGTATCTTGAACACCCTTGTCTCTTTAGATGAGCTGCACTTCTTTCTTTATCTCGCACACATGTCCTCTGAATTACAATTAGTAAGAGAGAAGAGATTGGGAGAAGAAGGGGAGAGTATGCTTGAGAAAACAAATTAATTACATACAATGAAACTACTTACTGCTGACAGGAAGCACAAATTACTTAGCAACAAAAGTAATGACATCATTATACTACTCACTGCCAGGGGTGGAAATTCCAAATCACACTCGCTGTCGTTACCGTAATTAAGTCGTTTTCTGTGTACTAAAAATCTGTTTGCTTAAGTAGCCTACTGTTTATCACTACTGTTTCAGTATTGTACTTCGTTAATTATATTTTTATTATTTGTTACATGTTTGAAGTAAATAAATACATACATAATGAAACGAAAGGATTGACACTGTCTATTCATATTCATCAACAGGATTCCCATTAGTTTATAACTGCATGAAAATAATCATTGAACCTGTGCAACATAAGCATATTGTTTGTTTTCATGGACGGCTGAATGGTGCGTGACTTATGTTACCGCCGCAAGGAATTATGGTTAAAAAATAATGTTGCGTCTATCTTAATTAATGACTGATTTAATGAACCAAGTGACACGCTCACGATGATCGCGAGTTACATTACAAGTACTTGCATTTGTCTTTTCCTAACAAATGCAATTACATGACAGCAGATTTATTTTTAGCAGCTTTATTTCGAACTCATAGAAAACCCCTGAAAGATAATGTAACACTGGCTCCCTCGACAAAAAAGGTTTTTTAAAATTGGATTATTGCAGGAATTAAGCTCTGTGGCAAACACTAGGTTTTTTTAAGCAAGATAATCTTCACAAATTAACAACATTTTCATGATTTTTGAAGAGCGAAAGCAATTGGAAGTAAAAAGCTAACGTTGGGCGATCAAAAAACTACACCTTGGTCACATGAGTGCGAGTATGAACAGAATGAGGCTGCGACAGCAGACCGGTCTGTTGATCGTTCTGTAGTTCATTTAGCCACTTGTTAGCCAATGCCTTTTTTAAGACACGTCAAAGCTTCAATACTCACGTGTGTAAGACTTGAAATTCTCGTATTTACTGACAAGAAGAAAACCTTAAAATCTCTTAAGCTTGTGTTAAACACAGACCTTATTTCAGGCATGTAACCAAAAACCCATCGACTTGGAGACGAGGGAGCCGGAAGTGCAAACACGCTAACTCATTTCCTGGTTTCAGGAATCAGTCCTGCAGCATTCTATGATTAACGAAATAAGAAAAGACGCATTGAGGCACCTTTCCTCAGCAGTTAATGAATTCAACCAGCTCTTTATCATGATTGTCATTTGGATACTTTTGGGTCATTTCAATCTATAAAGAACCTTGGTAAGAAAAAAAGACTTTTCAACCGCAGTACGTATGTTTCCTAAATGTAGTTTTGGCAGTTTTGGAGCTCGGAGGGCTGATTATTGACCTCCTTTGGAGGAAGCTAGCTGCCTCCCATAGACAAATCTATTGCCGCCTCCCATAGACTGTATATAAGAAGTGGACA